GCTTCAAACTCATGACAGTTCTGCCTTAGCCTCCCGAGTGCTGGCATTACAGGCGTACACCCCCACTTCGGGTGACTCAGGTCATTTCTGTTAGTGTCTTGGTATCAGTTGTTCATGAAAAATTGCCAGATATAAGTTGTGCTCCTTAATTATGTAATTCTACAATCTTACTTGTTTTAAGTTAAAGACTGTTTCCTTGAATTGTTATTGTCATGTTTGCCCTTGCTTTGGTTTTCCTCTGGATTTCCTGTTATTTGCATTATATCCCCTTTACTTGTTTTCAGTGTATGTTACTTTCTTACACTTTAAAATTTTCATTTGGAGTTGAAAATGTTTCTCTTCTCACCCATTTCTCATTTCATCATTTGTGTTTACTCTTCTGTCTCTTCTAGTTTAGATTTCTGATTTTACTTATGTCTCTTGTAGTTTAAATTTCTGATTTTATTTTCATTTCTTTTTTTTCTCAATTCTGTCACCTCATGTCTAATTCTAGTTTATGTTGTTGCTCTTTTGTGACATTTTCTTAAATGACTTTCATCTCGTAAAATACAGGGTAATAGTTTTAATATACTTGTGGGTCTTTATAGTATACTTTTATTGTTCATATGGATGTCATTCAGCTCTTTTTAAAATTACGTAGGATTTAACTTAATATTTTTGTTTCTCATTTTTATGTGAAGTTTGTTTTTTTGAACTTTTAAAAGGAACCTGGCTCAGGTTAGCTTTTCTACTTTTGTGTTTTTTTTGTCTCTTTTTGTTCTCTGGTGTTCTAAAATAAGGCAGCTTGGTTTCTGAGAATTGCTCTGTTTTCTTCCTCAATTTTGACCTGAATTTCTCTGTCCTTTTGCTTCTCTCTATCTTGTTTTGATTCCACAGTGAGTGCTTTCTCCTTACTGTGAGATCTGTCCTATCAGTCCTGGCTGGTCAGATGAAGGAAGTCTTGGATGCTATGTCAGTCCAGCTACTTTCAGTTTTTTTTATAATTTGTATTTCATGGATAGTCCCTCCCAGTTTCACCTGCTATCTCAAATTGGCTTCCCGTGATTTCCACTTATTTTGGCTTTCTCCTATTATCAGATCTCTTAGATGCTTAAGTGGTTCTTTTTGCTCTTTCCTATAGAAGTGCTGATGTTATGGTCTTATGACTTGCTTGTGGTTGGTTCTAGTCTGTATTATGGAATTTGTGGGGATACTTAGTTTTAAATGTTGGGTTTTCTTCTGCTCTTATATGGGACCTTTAAAACATTTAAAAACCCCATTGCTGTTGTCTTCCCAGGATACTATTATGTTTTCATTTAAAAATATTTATTTATCTTTGTATATAGATAATAATACAGTGTTTTATATCCAGGAGGACTAACATATGTAAACTATATTACTGGATTATTTTCAGAATTTTCTTAAAATTATTTTAATTTTTATAAATTTTTAGATATTTTTAAATTTTAAAATCAAGTCCTGTTAATCTTATTCAATAGAAGCAGTTGTTAGAAGGTAAAGCAAGTTAGTTCTGCTCCTTAATAGCAAAGGAATTTAGTTTTATTAGGTATATTTTTAAAATAATAGCTATTATCAGTTGAAAGATCTTTTAAAATCATAAAGTATAATTTTTATTAAACTAAAAGCATACAGTGTTATAGTTTCAAAGGCACTAATATTTTAATGTCCTTTTAACATTTCTTGGAAGAGAAGAATAAAATTATTTGTGCCACTTATAAAAGATAGTCTCTTTTCAGCAGTTTACATATTTATTCATTATTCTGTTTTACCATATCTTCTCCATGGAGACTGTATTTTTCTCAAAAGTTCTAAAAAGAACTAGAAGTTCTGGTAATTTTCACGCCCCCACCCCATACATTTGACATGAGATGTAAAAAATGTTCTGTTTCTAGTGTGATACTTAAAACCATCAAATTGATAGAGGTTTGACATTATTGCCTATCATATTTATGAGACTATTGCAACATAATCAAGAACAACTAGAAACCAAACCAAAAAACCTCTCTGCCTAAAAACAGATTCTGCAAGCATCAGAAAACAGTTTTTATTTCTGTTAGTGAAAAAGATAAGTAGTTAATTGCAGTAAAACAATTCTTTTTGTATTAAATATTTATGTAATGGCTTTTTGTGGGATTTTTCTATCAGTAAACATGGAAGAAGAAAATACAATATGAACATTAAGATATCAAATTAAAATCTGATTGAGGTTCTCTGACTTATTCATCGCTATATTAACCTTTATGTTTATTTCTACAGCAAACCTATATGTAGAAAGCTTTTATGTTGTCTTATTTCTAGTCAAATTTAAATGTTAAAATACTGCATGTTTTTATCAAGCTTCATGTTTTATAGTTCTTTCTTGCTATTAACATTAATATGTAAACGGAATACTTACGTATTCTGAAGCCTGCAGAAAGGTTTTTGTTGTGCACTAGTTAAACTCCAGGTAAAGTCCTTGGAGAGAGAACCAAAGACTAACTGTAAATACTGCCTAGTTACAAAAATGTGCATGACAACTAATCAAACTTGTTTTATTTTGTTTTTTAATACATGTTCATCTAGTCAACGATTTTTTTTTTTTTGTACTGGGGATTGAACTCAGGTCCTTGCACTTGCGAGGCAGGTGGCAGAAACACTCAGTTAAATCTCTGGCTAGTCAACTATTCTTTTTAGGTATATGTTACGATGTCATCTTTTTGCCACTTAATCTGTAAGTGGAAAAATCTCTAATACTCATTTGAACTCTTTTGTTAGGATGAATGCACATTTTATCTTGGCAAAATCAGTCTTATGTAGCTCAATGCTCTCCATGTTGAGTAAATGAAAATCAGTCCCACTCAGTTATAAAATATGTTTATATCAACACATGACAACTGTAAGAACTTGGTTTAGCTCATGAGGGATAATTCCAGCCATGGGCTTTGAAGCAATAGAACAGCTCATTATGGATTGAAACTTCTAAAAACTATCATTGAAAAACCTTTCTTCTGTGTAAAAAACAAAATTTCATTTTCATGTCTCCATTTATATATTAATATTGATTTGTTTTTTTAAAACCTGATAGCTTTTAATGAAGGGTAGACATTTTGTCAATAATTTTTTTGAATTTCCTAAATTGATCTTTAGTAAGTGTACGGATGTGGAATTTAGAAACTTAAAATATAGCTCCTCCTGGTATAAAATGTGTGCATCCCCAATGTTAATGTTGATTAGTGTGGTGTAGATTTAGAGCTTAAGGAACTGTCTGATGAATAGCAGCAGCAGCAACTGAGGGTCTCATAGTTAAGCATGCTAACCTGCTTGATGGGTCTACTTTGAACGAGCCATACCTGACCATTCTTTTTTGTTTGCTCTTCTTTGTTATTCCCTCTTTCTCTTTTATCACTCAGCTCTTTGCTCTTCACTTTCTTCCTTAACTGGTCATTGTTTATTACACAATTTTGTCTTTTACTTTTTTTTGGTGATCTCAACCTAGAAGTTTTAAGAAAAATGAAAATACATTGTATAAAACATTATGTAAAGATGTACTTTTAAATTTTTTGAGAATTTTATAATCATGGAACCAGAGAAATAGACTTTTTGGTTGGATGAAACCTAGATTCAAATATCAATACATTGAATGTTTATTTATTGCATGTGGTCTGCAAAAATATTTACTTAGAATTGCTGTTTTTTTCATTAAAGCATAGATGAAAAATTTTGGTCTCTACTTCTTTCCCTTACTCTCCACAATGTTTCAGTACATATAGTCACTTAAATATTAATTCCTTTCCTCTTATCTTTCTTTTACAATCCAAGTTTATCCAAAGTATATGAATGTTGGGCCGGGGATTTAGCTCAGTGGTGCCGCCTGCCTCACAAGCGCAAGGTCCCTAGTTCGATCCCTGGTACCAAAAAAAAAAAGTATATGAATGTTATATCATGTTAAGTTCAAAGAATCTTCTTAAAAAGCTTTAAAATCCTAATTTATTATTTGCAGTATTGTAGGTTTATTGAAAATAACTTGGGCAAAAAAACTAGAAAAAAGCCCCCTGCTTAGATGTAACTTACTGGCTGTTATGCCTTCTCCAAAATTTAAAATCATCTGTTGATCAAACTAGTGGTATGCAAACTTTTCACTAGCCATACTGTGGTTGTGTATGTCTGTATATACATGGCCACAGTCATGCATGATAAAATTGATGAGAATAAGAAATAAAGATAAAAAAATGATAAGGAGAGGGCATTTTCACAATTACGAACGCCACATGGTTGATACACTTAAGACACATCTACAGAAACTCCTAAAATTGTTTGATGCTGATTCTTCCAGCTCAGAGAATACTGCAGGTGTGAGAATTCTGGGAGAGGTGCAGAGAAAGTATGTACAATGGGGAGAAATGGCATCTGACAGAAAAGTGCCAGAGCTTTGATTATGTGGTTCTTGGAGACTAGTGCAGAGACAGTATCACATGCTCAGGGATTTTTGTTTACTATATCACCTTACATTATAATCGGTGTTTCCAACAGTGAAGCAGTCTACAAGAAATGGTCTATGTATAATTGTGTGTAAAGTTTTGTTGTAAAAAAGATTTTTGGTGTAAGAACATATGGGGAACGTTCTTTGACTTAGTGGGTAAATGAGATCATTTTCAGGTAGCTCTTTGAAACACTATCCACTTGACATTTAAAATCCTGTTTGCAATCACATTCCTGCAGTTTTCTGGAAAGATATAATTTTTGTTTACTGAAGCAATAAATGAAATGGACTTGTATATTCTATGGTAGATGGCCAGTAATTGTTCTTTAAAGCATAAGATATGTTTTTCATTGAGAGTTGAAATTAGTCCCAGAAATAATGTGTTGGTTTGACACTTTATTATTTTTATTTTTTTCTTTTTTCTTTATTGGTACATTTCAGGTATACAGTGCATTTACATTCATTTTTGGGATCTTGTACCTTTCTTTACATGATATACCTTGGTTCTTATTTTTTCCCCACCTCCTGCCCTCCCTTCACCCGCTGCATGGTTTGACACTTAAAATGCATAAACTCAGGAATGTAAGTATTGATAGCACGTTTCTATATTTGGCAGAGATAGGTGACACATTTAGTTAACACACACTGCTAAATATTACTCTCTTGACAGATTACCCAAGAGTTTTTTTCCCCCCTGACAATAGTTGCCATTATCTGTGACCAAAGCTTTTTCATTTGTTTATTTTATTTTCTTCCTGAATGCTTGCAGTGCAATGATGAAACCTTGTGGTGATTGGCGCAAGTGCACTGTCGTACATTGTGTATAACCACTACGGGTATGGAGACGTCTGAAAGAAAGCAGATTACAGTTTAAGAAATCAAACCTTTTATTAGCTGTGTGTTTGCTGTATCAGGCTTTCTCATAATTCAGCACAGTGTTACAATGAACACTTTCTTTGAGTGCCTTGTTTTAAAGTTTCCGGTTTGAATTGTCCTGAAAGGAAAGGTCCTAAATTATATTTTCACAGTGGTCCCTGTAAACATTAAAGTCTAACTAGTCAAAGTAATGAATCTTTTCCTTTGCTACGATATGTAATGAGCAACACCTCAGTAAAATAAAAACACAATAAACTTAAAATGTTCTTTTAATGTTTTGAATTTGTGTCACTTCTTTTAAGAGATGGGTTAGGGGATAAGAGAACTTCAGATTTTATATTTAATTGAAGTAACAGCATCGGCTGACAAGTAATAAATAACAGTGATTTAGTGTGAATAAATAAATTGCTTTCCACTAGCAATGATTCATCTTCTGTCTTTCATTGCCATTAGGCTACAAGACGGCTTCTTTTTGTCAGCTTATAGGAAAAATATGTGATAGTATAATAGTCTCGTTTCTTTTCCTGCAATAGCGGTGTCACCTCCTATAGAAGTTGCATTTTAAATGTTTAAATACAGTAATTGTTCACTGACTTAAAACTGAATTTGTAACTGCGTAGTCTGTGGTGGTTTATAATAACCTGGTAAGAGAGTTTTCCTTTAACTCATGAGTGCTGCTCCTCAGTGTACTTGCATCATTTCTTTTCACAGACTCGTTAATACATCATTCATATCCCATAAAGTTTACCCTTTTTTTTCTCATTGAGTTTATCGGTACATGTTAGGTATACATACAGTACAGTTACATTCATCATTGGGATCTTGTACCTTTACATGACAGAGCTTGGCTCTCATTTTTTCCCCATACCCTTGCCCTCCCCTCATCCCACTCCTCCCTTCCCTATTTATAAATACTTTATTTCCGTTTTTTCATTTTCTCATTTTTTTTTCTTTTCCCTTATTTCCTTTCCCCTTATCCCTGTTACCATAAAAAAAAAAAAAAAGCCATAAAATTTACTCTTAAAAAGCATATAGTCCATCGGTTTTTACAGAGTTCTAGCTGTCAACACTATTTAAGGCCAGCTTGCTTTCACCACCCTAAAAAGATGCTGTACACCCCTTAGCAGTCCCTCCCGTGCCCGTGTGCCCCAGCCCCCACCAAGTGCTCACACCTTTTCTCTTTAGATTTTTT